TCTCTAAGGTTACTGGTTGTCAAGTCGTGTAAGTCACTTTCATCGGTATGCTTTAGACCTTGAGGTTCGAGGTTGGAACCCAGGCACCCAACTTTGGTGTTATTCAGCTTTTGTCCGGCTCAATAGCGCTCCTGGCCTTAACGGGACCCTATGTCGTTCACCGCTCCAAGTCCCGGGGCTTGGGTGGCAGGTTCCCCGAGTGATTAGTAGGTCCTCTTGATTATGGAATGAACCCCGTCTGCTACTCATCATGCAACGGTATGTTATTCAAAAGAAAATGGAAAATGAGGTGATCATGTGCATATCCAAAGATCAAGCGAAGTGAATTGAATCGACTTCGACGTGACGCTTCATGGATATTGCCACGGTGGAGCAGCATTATCGTCACCATACTCTGAAGAAAATTAAATGGATACCTATGCAACCGTCAATATGATCAAAATAAATAAGAATGCTAAGGCAAATTGAGAGTGGCCCTTGTTTAAGGGAAGTGAACCTCTTTAGTTAACACACGGTCACTAGTCTTATTGTGTATTCACACCTCACCAAGAGATTGGACTTCATAAAGAATAATAACAAGAATTCCACGACTGCAAGTTCGATGTTACATCCTTCTGTCTCCAACTAATCGGTTACAGAGTCCTTTAAACCCCAGTCACAGTGTGGCCATTGCTGCTGAGTTGGTAATTTTTTGTGGACACCCACCGGTAGGTTTTCTTTCGCCTATTGAAATCTGAAATTCTAGCAGCTTAGGCCAGAAATGGATTGGTACCAATTTAAACCGCTGAAAGTTATCAGTCCCTTGTCTATGCCACTGTTATCCACAAATTGCTGGAATGTGATTGGTCTACCAGTTAGACTGGTACTCTCGTTCGCTTTTGATCATAAGAAACTAAGACCGTATGAAGCGTTTTCAATGCTACATGCCTACTCATTATTCCAAATCCGTTCTTGAGCTATTACTGAACGCTTCCGATTGCTTTCTGATTGAGAGAATCATGGAGTTTTGGAGGAAAGTCTTTACACAACACCTATTTTGAAGCAGGTAAGGTGGGGCTATCCGATTAAGCAGATCGAGTTAAACCGTCTCCTGATGGGGTGTCTCAACCAAATCAAATGAGTGAGATTCAATGGATAAGATGGGTAGCGCGTTTCTTTCATTGTACGATGCCGTATCGGGGTTAGGCAAGNTAGGCAAGTCAAATGGGGATCAACAGATGAAGCGAAGATGAGGCATAAATAATTGTAGAGTAGATCTCCAGTGCTAGGCTTCAATTGATTCCGGTCGGTTGCCTGAAGTCGCTGAAGCAAACACTTACTGGTCGTCCAGACTGCCTAAGTAGGTTACTACGTTTCGTTTTTAAGAATAGAAGTGGAATCCTGCAGGCACGATAACCTTCCGTTTACTTATAGCGGTCAACTTTAAGAGTCCTTCAACTTGGACTGACGAACCTTCTAAGGCTCCGGTAGGACATGCTATCCAGTTAGACGATAGCGCAGCTGCCTGCCATATTTAACTTATTCAGTCGAGGTTTTACCCGAATTTGCTCATCTTTTTGTTTCTGTTAAGCAATGTCCTTCTCTAACTTCCCTGTTGAACCGTATGCTCTTTATGTACATCGTGGTACTGATAAACGAAGTTCCGCAAAATTTGTATTTGTACGGTGTTGATGACTAGTCAAATGAATCCAAGACTGATCTGATATCTGCGAAAACGACAAACAGCAATCTTCTTTCCATTTAAGCCTTTGAAGTAGATGTTCTAACTGATTTATACCGAGTTGATCCTTTGTTTACCGAAATAGTTGGAAGAAGCGGCAGAGTTTCATCACTAATGGCTAACTACCATCCTAGTGGAATATTATGTGGTTCACTATGGCTAAGGCTGCCGGTTCACATGACTGAACAACAGGTCCTCGTGACTGTGGGTTTACATCAAGTATGGCGTAACCTTGAAGTCAAGGTCAACCAAGAAAGACCGATTCTTATGATTATCTCATGAAAGAAAACACGATTTTCAAACACATCGTTAATCCCAATATTCATCGATGGGATCACGATGAACCATAATGAAGTTCAGAGAAAAAACTTAGTTCCGTCGATCGAGAGACGCTTGAGGCCATGACATAACTACGAAACAGTATCCATCTTCATTGAAGGCTGATATCTCTTGTGATGTCCAGGCGCATGGTGACCCGGTCTAGTCATGTGACAAAATTCCCGACAGAGAAGGCGACACGTGACCCAGCGATCAACGGTCTATCGCAAAACGTGACCCCTCAAGTAGTTCGAATGTATATTTCAGACTTTATTTCCAAATATCTATACCGTGCGATTGCTCCATCGTTTACCATCGTCTCGTCCCTCTCACCCGTGACCCTTTCTGTGATCTGATTGGATCATATTCCGCTATCTGCGGCGCTTAAAATCCCTCACCCCAACACGAGACTGTCTGATTACCGGCTTGTACGTTTTGTTTGTTGTTACGTCCACTCCATCCGTATGTTGATGGCACAGTCGAAGTTCACTGGGTCTGCCTGAGAACAAGGTGTGGCTTCTTGCTCGGATTAGCCGGGCAAGTACCAGGTCGCTTGTTGCGGCTGAACCATTCGACCGATCGGTCGTGTGATTTTCGGGCCGACACAGGGGGAGGATAGGTTCCGAATCCGATGCTGCCTAAATGTTGGTAGAGAATCACCATAAGAGCATCAGTTGTGGAGCAGTGCGCCATGTGGGAAATTCGGAATGGAATATGCTCAAGCTATGATGACACTGGGTGAACGCTTGATTCGTTTAAGATACACGCATTATTTTTCGAAGCGGGTTCGGTAAACAGATAATCATAATAAAACTTTGAACTTGTCCTAAGAACGGACAGCAATATCCCCTATTGTAGGCTCACGCAAAACTCTTCTTGTTTTTTCCAACTGGTTGTTTTCGCGTTGAACGATCTCGCTAACTACGTCGGAGACAGAATTCTGAAACAAAGAAAGAACAAATATTACGGAAAAATTATATTCATATCATAAAAGTTGTTCCATATGTTTTCTATTCTGCTGCTTGCATAGAAAAATACGGTGAAGATAGTTTTCTTCCACCTTCAGAATGTTAGCAGTTGAAATACTCTGTTTAAGCTCTTCGACCTATATCGGGAATAAACTGTTCGCTTTAGATATCACCACAAAAAGAAATCCACAGAGGACAGATCAAGTGATCTTGGAGGCCGCTCCTCTGGTCCTCCTCGACCAGTCCATCTGCAGTTAAATTCCGAGTCGAGGAAACGTTTCACTACCAGAGCATTGTGTGGCGGTGCACCGTCATGTTGGAACCAAACTGCAGTACCAACTTCAGTTTCTATACGCCGGATGGCCGGTACCACATTATCTTGTAACATTTGCAAGCATAAAGCGCCTTGAACAATTTAATAAGCAAAGTTGTTCTTACCTGTTACGTTTCCGTTGAAGTAGTCCGGCCCGACAATCTTTCCGTGCACAATACCAGCCCATACTAACACCTTGGGACTATGAAGCGATATCAATCCAACAAAGTGTCTTGGGTTTTCAACGGACCACCGAATAGAGCTTGCTGAATATACCACATTCATCCATCTTTGTTCGCGGATGTGCCTTGCGTTTCCGATCGTGTACACTTCCGCTAGATTTGAATTGGTTAATCAGCGCTGTGACACCATTCCTCGTAACACTCGTTGCATATGTGTTGCTGAGTTCCTTCACCGTCAGCGAAAGGCTTTCCTTGTTCCCGTAGTACATCTCAATCAACGCAAAACGATCGACAGACGGCAAGTACGTGAGCAAGCCACGATAACAACCAATGTAATGACAGTCATGATCATCATCGTACGGCGAAACACAGTGAGATAAAGTTCACTGATCGCCGCCAAACTCGCAATGCATGCAAGGCTAGTGGTAAAATTTAAGATGGACAGGGATTGGACCTATTTTGAGTGAGGGAAAAGAAGGCGAACCTCTATGGTCTACGCGCAGTACACAATCCAACTGTGCACGCATACCGTTTCATTCACTCTGGCCTAATAAGAAATGACAACAAGAACACCACCGCCGTGTCTTTCGATGTCTCCAGTTTGGGAGTTTTTCGGACCTCACTCCTGAAGGCGTGAGACAACTGCTCTACCTAAAGGCTTTGTGCATTTCTTCATGCCTCGTCCTCACGTCATCTGTTGACCTCCAGCCCGGAGCGGATACAGCGAATAAAGCGTAGTGCGGAAGACGGCGACTGGGCATACACAGTATGTGCCCTAGTCAGCGAACACTACTAACCTGAATTCAGTGTGTTAGCAGGTTTATCCCTGATAGACTCCCAAACACACGACGGCTTACCTCCAGATTACTAACCCGTTCGCTCCATCCCACGTGGGCCAAACTACGTAAACACCGATAACCGAAAACTTCTAGTCGATAGAGTCAATGTCTCACAACCATAAAGCAGAACCGAACGGACGGTTGAACAATATATATGACTTTTCAACTTCAGTGAAACGTCGCGTCTACACCAGAGGTGTTTCGGTCCTGTGTATGCTGCTTGAGGCTTAGAAATTCGGGTAGTTATCTCTTTTGCTGCGCTGCCATCATTGGTCACGCAACTACCCAAGTAGGAAAAGTAATCCACCATAACTTTAATTTCAGTACGGGAGTAGACGAAACCCAGTCCTTCATCAGCACTTTGCACTTTGAAGGTGCAAAGCATACACAGAACGTGGCAACCTCACTTAATCTATCGAGTGCGCTTGGCGCGTCCTCCATGCGTTCGAATAGACAGACGATGTCACTGGCGTACTCCAAATCGCACAGATTGACGCATGGAGTTCGAAGGAACCAACGTTGTACCTTGGCAAACCGCAACGAGCCGTTTCAGTTAAGGATAGTCCGGGGCAGCCGCAGTATTAGCGCAACATGTTCACTTAGGTCTTGGCAGAAATACGCGTCCTCGGAAAGGAGTAAGACAATCATTAACGTCACAGTCCACCGGACGAATTTGAAGCGCTGGACGTATCAAGAGATTTGATTTAAACGATAATTTCATTGAAAGTGCCGTCACGACGGTGTGCAAATATTACTGATTTGTTCTGACGAACGGAGTAGTACTTTGGTGAAAATCGATCTACAGAACGACGAAGGTGATCAACCGGTGATTGATGCCAAAACGACTATGACGAGCTTGTTTCACGTGGATTATAAAATAACACAAAAAACAAGGAGGCAAAGGCTACTACGATACGGGTGTGCCTGAGAAACAACCAGACATTCATATTTATCCCCCATCGATTCTCAGTTATGAACACTACATATCTGTGTCCGTTTTGAAAAGTTTGTAGGATGCAGCAGAAGGTTTACTGCACAGATCACCAGTGTTTTGGCTACTGATGGACTCCATGAAATCCGAGTAAGAGGCATGTTGTCACGCGTGGTCAGTAGTAATATTACTGTCCGCATAGGAGTTAATCTGCCTAAGCTAACTACCAGGCAACAACGATATAATGATTGTTAGCAGCCGTCCCATCCCGGCACTTCCACTTTGGAAAAAATCACGGGCTTATCACAAATGCACATTCGTTGCCACTGGCTCTATTTAAACTGAGAGGCTGTAGTGTGTTGTAAGAGGCAAGGCTATAAAACAAAACCACACAGGTGGTACAGTGGGGTGGCGATCACACAAAACACGTTACATTGCAAATGAACTAAGATGTATTTTTGTGTAAAACAAAAGGGCGCTTTTGATTCGGTTGGGGGAGCGAACGGAACACCAGAGCTTCAAATGCTCAAGACCAAGGGTATAACTGTTGTGCTAGCTTGACGTAAGACGGCACAACTGACGGATCAGCGAGCGACTCTTTTGAGAAAGCCTGTTCGGGTGCACAGCCTTCGAAGAGCCGCCGAATCGCAAGTTCAACCTTCTTCCCGTTGAGAGTATACTGTAAAAGGGCAAGCAAGCTTAAATGAGATGAAATAAAAAGCAATAAACTTGGATGTTATATTTTGTTAAAGAATACTGAACAGTGTTGTTGAGTGGAAGCTCTCATTTTTGTAATCCCTTTCTTCACAAATTTGTTGTTTAGTTATTGTTCCTATTCCACGAAAGTTCGCGTTGGATACGAAAACGTACTCGTCTCTGTTGCCCGACAGGGGCGACTCCTATTAAACGAAACGTTTGCATAAGTCAGCAACTAACTGATGCTATTGTCCTCTGGTGACTGCTACGATGTACAGTGAAGACCACATTGTTCTTCATTTCCGACGGCATCGTGATTTTCGGGGACACTTCAAATCACTTTGAAATGTTCGCCAGCTCCATCCAAAAAACCGGATTAAAAATTAGTGGTGACCGATATCAAAATCTTTCCTATTGTGATCAGTAACTTAACAAATTTTGTTTAGGGATTGGAGCAGCAACGAAAGTTCCGACGAATTGCGCCAATTCAACCGTGACAAATGAGATCACTCGTAATACGCTCCAGGTATAGCCAGGTTTTAACTCACCGGAATGGCCGATACACAACACATCACGGCCGGCAAAAATCGAGGAGATAATTGCGATCGAATCGCTTGTTGAATAGTTGTGGCCAACTCCGTTGGTAGTGGACCATCCGGAATGGAATTATCGCTCAATTTGACGAGTAGAATCATACGCTCGTCACTGCGGTCGGCATTAGACTGTGCTACGCACAAAGAGTCTAACACGCCGGGTAAGCCTTCAACTGTAACAAGATAACAAAGCAAGATAGGCAGAGTACGACAATGACGTGTACTGGTAGAGTAGTCGGACGACGCGACCAAATGCAGAACATTTCTACTGCGATATTGAAGAGTATCTTTGAACTTGTTTGAAGTGTGTGTAAACAGTTTTGCTTTCTTGTTCTGTTGCTTCGTTTCGATTGCAAACAAAACAAAAGAGATGAGGAAAGAAATCAAGCAGCTGCCCTGTGACAGACGAAAGGGAAACGCATGTGGTAGTGAAGAGTTTCGAACACACACAAAATTGAAAATGGCGTGATGATGACCAAAACCTTAGCCCTCTTTCCTTTCTGCAATCTATCTGTCGAGTATGGCTTGAACATCTACTTTAGTTCAGAATGGATACCATAGATTCTTAAATCGAACAGAAGATACATTTCAAATGGTACTCGTAAAATCAGCTATGCAGTTCACCTACACTCCAAAATCAATATTTAAGAGGAAAAAACGTTTCACATTATCGGAAATTCCAGATAGAAGTATGTATCTTCGACATTATTATCCTTCTTTTTTCTTCCTTTTAATGAGTATTTATACCCATAACAACTAAACAATGTCCAGGAAGAGGAAAACAATCAATCAAAGTCATAGAAAACGTGGAAAGTGAGGCAGAAGTGGTGGGATCCGATCACTTCCTCCGAGGCGGTAATTTAGCGACCTTAACCGCTTGATCATCGCCACAGAGCGGTGTATAAAGTGAGGAGTTGCAGCTGTACCTGAAGGACTCTCGTGCCCCTTTGGGCTTAACTCTGCAGATTTTCGTATTCATTTGTTTGACCCCCCTCTCCCCCTGGTGGCTCCGAGAAGCTGATACGTCGACAGTAAATCGCTCGAAACGCGGGCTAAACTAGGCTTAGATGTCTAACAGTGTTTCGGAGGAATGTCACTTTACCGCCGGTCAGTTCGCGCTTGATTGTGCAAAGGCCATTTGAAAAAGTTTCGAGTGGCGTTGAGGACACCATTTCTTGAATGCTCCATAGTTGGCTGGGGAGAGGGAAGGAGACCGCTCACTACAGGAACGAATACGGTAGAGTCGAACGTGGAACGCATCGGATTACGTTCTTTCCACAGAGTACGATTATGATATGGCGAGTAGATCCCTATCGGTACTAATTTCATCACTAACTGTCGCCTATGAAAAGTTGCCAACTGACATCCCGGAAGTTGACCGTGCTTCTGATATGAGATGGTCGTGAAAAAGTAAAAGTAGGTGGAAATGGGTTATTCGGGGACAAAAATGTCAGTACTTATTCAGATAGGAAAGAACTAACTGAGCGAGAAAACCAAAGCTGAATTCAACCTCAGTGTACACAACCGTTCACCTTACACGTTCGTGTGTCGGTCTTGGTTGCTGTATCTGGGCCACGCATTTAGGTGAAGGAGTAAAAGGGTGAATTGTAACACTGGAGACAGTGTGAAGGTGAAGATACGCAACTCCATTAGAATAAGATAGCGAATAGATTCAGTAAATGCACAAGTGACACTCAGTCATAACTCTTAGTGTCGATAAGTATCAATCCCAGGGAGCGGGGCATTGGATAACTTAAAGTGAATCCATCTGTCAGGGTTTTCATACCCTCATGACAGATTTTAATTTAACCACTCTTGACCATCTTCCACACACTAACGTCCGCGACAAACAACGCACATCATGCGTCCGACAAAACAAAACGCATAATGCACTCCAAAATGCTCTAATATTTTGTTAAACTGAACGGTCCGAAAAAATGTGTATCGAAGCCCGCGACTGAACTGACTTCACCCTAGTTGTAATTTAATGAACAGTTTCTTGCTTGAGCGACTTACTCAGATTGTAGATTTCTGCGCTGCCAAAACGTATGCCGGACGGATTGAGAGTGGTATCGCTACGGCCGGAGATCGTGAGAGTTTCAGTTTCACTGTGCAATTCAATAAAATCTCCGTGAGACCAGATATCTGTGGAACAGGAGAGCACAGGCGAGAAAATTCGTAGAGTTCTGAATGCATCAAACCGTTTGTGTGACACGTTGTCCAGCAAGAAGTACAGAGGAGGTGACTAATCAGAACAGATAAATGGAACTCAATGTTTCAAATAAGAACGATTAGGGCAGATTGGAGAGTAAACCAGCTTAATCAAGAGTGATAAAAATGAAGGTGCCTAGTTGCGATGAAAACAGAGTAGACAGATATGTAACTCAATAACAAATTCTGATGACATCCAGAAGGCGATAAATGTCGGTTATCTGTCGTCCTTCGGGGCCCACTACCAACCACTTGTAGGCAATTTCGGACCCCAACCCAATACTCCATTGAATTCTGTCTATTTTCTCTCTTTCCCTCGTTTATGGGATTGTTAGAACAAGGCGCGACGCAGAAGACGATGATCGATAAGCATGTACAACACATGTCGAGTTAATCAAAGTTTGTTCATTTGAAATAATAATAAAATTGTAGGTGAAGCGCACGCCAGTTTAGCCCGGTGTTCCGAGCCGCTCCGAGGGGAAAATCCAAAATCTTCCAATCAACGCAAAATGTGTGGGTGCAGTGATAAGTCTTGGCAACCGTATTGTCCACTGCATCTAGCGACAATATGGCTTAGATATTTCTGTTAGACAGGCAGATATTTCACCACTGTGTGAACAGAATGCAGATACTTTGTTGGTATTGAAACACCGTTGTCTGGGTTGCATTGCATGAGTTTGGTGAGGAAACCGGACAAGCAGCGCTGAGTTTTGAGCAATCGCGGTGACCCACTTGAGCAGCGGCTGGATCATCATAGAGTGCGCATGTCACCAAATAGATTTCCTCGGTGTGCGACTTTTTCCGGGAGTAATAGAACGAAAGTTAAAGGCGGTATGGTCGTATGAAAACCCCGGAGACCTTCACATGTAGGTCGCGGCTGGGGACCTCAGGATTGGTGTAATCGATGGTTAGAGACACTGAGTGTCCTAAATACTGATGCTCGTGCATCTTTGCAATTATAGTTCACTTAATTTCTTTATCTTCACGTTGACACTGCCACCGAGAAATGTGAACAAACCTAACTCCGCGTTACATGAACAACAAATATACGAGTGTTTATTAGTGAGCGTTTCGTACAGACACTTGGTTCTACGGTGGTTTCAGTAACTACCAGAATCTGGAAACCGATTGAGTTCTTAATAACCGAGGAGAATAGACTGTATCACCCACAACTCAAAAACCGGTAGTATTACGCGACATACAGAATAGTTCAAGGGGGAGAGACGCTTCAACCTATCAGAAGAACAATGCCTTTTGATAATTTTTGGCAAGGTGCCATCACAGAAGGCAAAAATGTCTCACGCAAGTATCATATGATACCGAAAACTGACAGTTAAATAGGAAAATACAATTCGAAAAAATACTCGTCGAAAGACAATGAAAAACAAAACAAGTGGCATAATACCGGACAGGTTCAATCTAAGTGGTCCACAATGTAGAATAAAAAAGTACAATATACAAAAAACACCTTGTAGAGAGAAGACATCTCAGTGATCAAAAAAAAGGAATCAAAATTAAATCACGGATCATAAAACACGCACCATGGATACACGGTGGTACATTTCATACTGATTGGAATGAACATTTATTCGTCAAGAGAGAAATCCATAATATCGTTGGGTTCTCAAACGTATATAGGGGTGTCTATTGTTAGTTCAATCGACTGTTCCAACTTCCAAGATAGTCATGTAGCGGAAAGGCTATAACAGACAAGGTACAAGTATCGGCATGTAGAGGTAACTCTATTTTGAATGATTTGCGCTGGTGGGGGCTTGTCGACAAAAACCCAGTAATGTCCAATAAAAACGCGTAAAATTTTCACGTGATCCATCCAGTGAGTTTGTGTATGAGTTCCGAGAGTTCATCATTCAGTCGTACGGTTTAGGCACGTTTGCTGATCGACCGGGGTAAATAGGACTGAAAGTCAACTGCGGTGCGTGTGTGTTTGCGCGATTCACCAGGATACATGCATGAAATTGCTGAAAATACAACCATCGGAATGGAAAGTTTAGTTTACAACATCATGGAACAAGTTTTACTTACGTGGAAACTTTGCGAAATACGCATCACGGTATTTACTGTCACCTGGATCATTCCAGAAGCCGACAGGCATAGACGGGAATGGGCGAACAATGACCAATTCACCTTTTCTGTCCGTATGGGGTTTACCTGAATCAACGATAGCGGGGGATATGAGAGACATGTATGTGACTTAAGGAAACATAAATAGCTTAATTCCAAACTGTTTTCTCTCGCAGACGGCAAAGGGTCATTAAAAAAGTGACACATGTGTGTTCTTATGCGGGGGCGTCAAATATCATAAACCGTGACCGGAAAATTTCCAAGGTCAATCAAAACGTTGTTTGGAATAGTTGAACCCATCCGGAAGAAAATGCAGATTACAAAAAAAGAGGCCAGTTATCACATATTAGTGGTCCAAACAAACAGGGATAAGTTGGCAAGCTACAGCTGATATCCTGTCTCTACCTCGCTAGCAGCAGGCCGTTTCCAAGAACGCTTATACAGATTGGAGCTTCACTTTCTAAATAGTTCATTTTTTTTTCAATTAGCACATCCTCATGCCATTCAGGTAAACAGGTAAAAAAATAATTATTCTCTAATTCGCAGTTACTCGTGAATAATGGCATTAGACAGATGTGATTAATATTGAATAACCCTTCCCCGACTTAAACGTCTCGTTTATTCTAGCCAGTCATACACTCGAGAGTCGAGTTTCACTCTTGCCAGAACTCATCAGTAGTACACAGTCACCGAGCCGTCCGCGACTCTTACTCCGGGCTGGATGAACAGAGGACTATGCATAGAAGGAAATCGTGAAGGATTACCAGTACAAATTATTGGAATGATTTGTTCTTCGATCCCTATCAAGTGAAATTCAGACCAGGACGTATGTGAAGACTACTAGGTTACAAAGGGGTTCTTTGCCTGCCAAGAGAAACATATGATCTAAATGTGTTAGAAACGATCAGAACACTCACACCGTCGGACCTAATTGCACGTCAAGCTTTAGCCAAAACCCGTGGTCCTTTAGCATCAACGCACAAACTTTAGTCACGCCGCAGTAGACAAGTCAGATCAAAAGTATCGGAATATTCTGAAATCAACGGATGTTGAAAAGAATTGTTTTCTACAAATTTTGATGTTGCAAAGCTTGGTTAAGAACTAAGGTGTGAGGGTGATTGGAGAAGGTTTAACCGATCGTCAAACCGTTTGACACATTTCGTACAGCTTCACTGTTTCTGTATAGCACGCAATACTGCTAGCAGTAAAACTCTCAAGTGTAACTCAAAAGATACACTGTTTTGCATTAACAAATGAATTCTGCTCATCAAATGAGGATGCAAAAACGTGCTGAGGATAACAAACCGTTCGTAAAAGTACACCCTCATAACTATCATCAGTTAATTAACGATGCAAAGTGAGTTATGATTACCGCGGTCGAGGCTTGATTATTACCGGTTTTTGTCTATGGGTTTTTGGGAAACGGTGCTCTAAAGGGTTTTTTTGTGAACAGTGTTCATTAGGCTCGACCTTTTAATGTATCCATATGTCAAAAACAGAGTTCCCTTTAAGTGGATATACGAAACGTTAAGCATATACCTTTTGATTTATTCTAGGGCGTGTGGATGCAAAAATAATGTATCGTTTGAGTTACACTTGAGAGTTTTACTGCTAGCAGTATTGCGTGCTATACAGAAACAGTGAAGCTGTACGAAATGTGTCAAACGGTTTGACGATCGGTTAAACCTTCTCCAATCAACATGTGTTGCAGCATGCAACCCTCACACCTTAGTTCTTAACCAAGCTTTGCAACATCAAAATTTGTAGAAAACAATTCTTTTCAACATCCGTTGATTTCAGAATATTCCGATACTTTTGATCTGACTTGTCTACTGCGGCGTGACTAAAGTTTGTGCGTTGATGCTAAAGGACCACGGGTTTTGGCTAAAGGAGTGTAGATCAAGGCTAAAGGATTGCAGGTTTTGGCTAAAGCTTGATGGGAAAAGGTGTAGATGTTCCAGGAACCAACGCACATTTCATTCCAAACATCTGAAAACAGTTGAATACTAAAGTCGTCTCTTACACTTTTGTTAGACAGCTACATCATTGTTCAACTCATTAGGACACAATAATAGCAAAGGATATATGAGCAATGTGAATATGAATGGCAACTAAAATTTATTCACACACGCTGTCGGTTTCGATTGTGTTTGCACTTTTCATCGTGAGCTACTTTATGGCGTACGATGAAAAAATGCCACGCACAGTTCAACGCCTACAGCTTCAGTGAATTGGTAAATAACGTTTTTGTATCCAGTCTATCAACTATGGTGTCACCTGATGTGGTTTCACACATTCGCCTATCATTCGCGGACGGACACACACTATGGGTATGCAGGTTTCGCCAAAGCACAGGTTCATTTATCTACTTATATGTGTGTGACGATTTGTAAGCCTTCACCAAACGATCACGTTATCGAAAATACCGCCACTTGTGACAGACAATCGTTGTCATCACTTCGTGCGGTAGAATAACACACTTTTCCGATTAGGGCTTTGTTGTTTGAATTAGTGCCAGCTGTTCACATGTCTGGGGGAGATTCTTTTAGCCAGTAGGTTCAGTTATTCTACAATGCACCGTCCCAACAACATAGTTTCAAAACAACAAATCAGTCCTTTGACAACACTCATCTCAAGCTTCATTTTGTTCTGCGATAATACTCACGTACCATCTTCATCCCACGATTCCACAGCCATCCCGAGAAGGCGACACTGAATTCGGCCTCGGTAAACGGGAAGCACGGGGCAGCAACCAACACAACATCCCAAAATATCGGTTCCACCTAATCAGCAGCAATGGAAGAAAACATGGTCTGTGAAGTTCAATTAACGAAAAAGGTGTAGGACAAAAGTTATATCGTTCAAACGCCACTGGAAGCGAAATCTGCACACTGGACATTTTTCACAGCTCTCGTCACATTCATTTAAAGGATGAGTGAGAAAGAAAACTCATATGCATCTTCCTTCTTCACTAACCAGCAGAAACTGACGATGCAATAATTCATGAAAATTGAAAAGATAAACTGAAAATCATTTTATACTCACCGGAAATCGATCCCAGCATCACATTGCTTTTGACATCACGATAAACGTAGTCGAAGGAACGAGGTGCCAGCGGGGACCCGGTAGACAAAACGGTGCGCAGGCTTTTGAGAGAATACTGCGATCCTTTAGGGGGCGGAAAACAGACATTGTGCATATCATTTGATTCATATGTTCAGTAGTAAACGGTGGGAATATCTGTGCGTTATAAGAAGAGTACTGCCGTCACAAATCGTTCACAAAATTGACCAGTCATTGGTGTTACACTATGGCATTACTGTATGTTACGAAAAGATAAAATCAAGGACAGTACAAATAATAAAGCCAAGTTTCATCATAGAAAATCCTCGGATAAAAGAGAAAGAGAAACCATCACGGAAAAATTCCGGTTGGATTTTCGAAGTTACCGAGTAAGTTTTCAATTACTATCCATGAATTACCAAATAGAACAAACAAAATCCTATTCCAGAATTATCCATATAGCACTCACCTGGTTTCAGAGCACGCTCCTCGCAAACCGCGAGCCATTTAGCACTAGTTCCGAGAGTTGTAATCCTGCAACGAACCAAATTGCACGGTCATTGAAGTGATGGGTGGGAAAATTAAAAAAAAACGAATCAGTAGACAATTTACGTTTGTCTGAAATCAACTCAGTTCATGTGAACCGTCAAATCTGGTGCTTCGTAGAGTATAATGTGTTAACAATAGTCGATTTGACGTTTCACTGCAACTGACGTTACGCTTGGGCCCGTGAGATCAAAAGGGACCAGGTACCGTTGGAATAGAACAAAATCCAAAGGTGAGTTATTCATCGTATCCAAGTACCATCTGATTTTACTGAGCAGTTCACAACCTCGCTAACAAAGACAGCCAAGACACTTTGAGGTAAATATACATGGGGATCGATTCAGAACACATAAAGAAAAATTCGTATCTGTCAGACTGATATTTACTAAATGCCCAGACAGGGATTTAGGTAACCTTAAATTAATAATAATAATGGATTTTTTATTTACCTCGCTCACAAGATAAAGGTTTGCAAATGCTGGGTGGAAATGTTATTTTTTGCTTAAAACTGTATATCGTTGAGGGCATTTTAAAATTTATTTCTTTAAAAGTTTAAATCGGTCCTCACACCAAGGGCCGAAACAGTATATCACAAGTAGGGTTAAAGCCAAATATCCGACTTGTATTTTTTTCGCAGTGTCTGCCGTCTATATTTTCACTTCTCATATCAAATAGGAGGCTACCAGTATTTTTGTTGTGCTACACCGTGACACAATAGTGAACGAAGGCTAATCGACTATCACGGTCATCGAGCGACTCCACCCCGTCGAGTTCGAACCCACCTCGTATTTGTGTCTGTTCTCTCGCTGCAACATCGTACATGCGTCCAATTGGTGTTCTCGGACAACTATTGTTGTGTGCATGTGTCACACGGTGTCCCCCCTCAGGATTGAGCCTTGTGATTGTTTTGTTGTGTGTGCATCTAGTGGTTGACACTGAGCTAAACAACACCTCAACTGTTATTGGGCAACACATTAATCTATACTGCGGTAAAATACAGAAATCATACAATTCTAATCACGTTCCACTGGAATAGTAGCAAAATTGTGGCTGGGTCGTTTTTTAAACAGAATTCCTTATCAGACCCAACCAGGCCGAAACAGTTGTCCAGTGCTTCCTAGCTTTTCAGTTCACGCATCATTTGCCATATACACGATGAATCCACCTTTAAAATTGAAATGAATCCTCCATTGCTCACTAGAAATCCTTATCCTTGTTAAAGCCTATCACACTTTACATTGAAGGTACCCTTTTTCAACATGATGCCACACTGCTACCAGTAAATTATCATAAGAGTGCGATAAGACTTATATCAAGTTCACCAACTATTCCATGATTACTGCACGCCGATTCTTTTGTGAATAGCGAGGATATTGTTAATTGAGACTTACGAGAGACCATCAATCAAATCCCAAAGATTTGTAGCGAACGGACATCCTTCATAAAGGACCACAGACGACCCCAAAGCAACTGCGGAAACCAACCAATTCCACATCATCCATCCGATCTACAGGAGACGAAAATTGCAAGAAGCATATGCACTTTTGGATGTATTAGGAAAGATAATTACAACAGAAGGCGAGAACGTGGACTAAGGAAGAATGCTGACGAGATTAGTCATTACCGATCCGTTAGATTGTGGGTCGAAAAGTCAAACTGAATGGGTGAGAGAAGAACTATGAAACTATCGAGTTAGCATAAGAGAAAAAGGACGATTATTGAAAATATAATGCCTCAGTAGTTATGCAGGTCACAGATATAGGACTCAAGTCTAACTCAAGAAAAATTCGGTCTTCGAATGACCAACGGCAAAATTTTATCAAGTAAATGTAACTACTCACAAGTAGAATAAGTTGAAATACAAAAAATACTCACATTCGTCAAATAGAGGATACGATCGCCTGGTCGAAAGTTACAGTGTAACTTTTGTTCACACATGTGCTTTATTAGTGTCCCCTGGAATGAAAAGGATGGCATCAAATTAAAACGGCGAATACTATTAATTCAGGGTGAATTAACGCAAAATGGAACGCGACCAGAATGAAAGACTAACCGAAAAGAGAGTTCATCCGATTGATGGAGCACGAGAACTCATCAAATCTATTGCAAGTCACAAATAGGTCAAAAGAAAGCAGCAAAACATGCACTAGTCAAACAAGAATGCAGTAATCTATGACGGAGGGTATTCTGAATATCTTGGTCAACATGGAGTCAAGTATTACCGTTTGGATTGCACATTTCCACAGTACAGTAGCCTCAATACGCAATTGAAGTAAAAATTCGATGAAAATGAAACAGCATTGCGAAGGAAAATTCACACCAGATAGATAGATAGAAAGATAGAATCTTGCCTTAATAGTTTTTAAGGTGTTCGATGAAGACAAACTTCTTTTTGCAGTGAATTTTGATCTGCAAGCTATATGTAAGGAAACGAACCTATTTTGATAGCTGTGAGAGGATGAATTTTAACATTTTGTGCTTGGCAAAGAACAAATAAATTTTGTAACAAGTTATATTACTTATGTTTTTACCTATTCAATATTCCATCATGCATCTCAGAGCAAAACTACTGCTTCGTTTTAGTAGGTATTTAGTGCGGAATCCTGCATTAGGTCTAACTGCTGTGTGTTGGCATAATTTGTACGTTTCCGGTTTAAGTGGATTCACTCTGCCATAACTCGTCATAAATTGACAAATTTACGCGCGTTCGACTCAGCTTTGTGAGATCCATCTAGCGATATCTCTCTTTCGGGTATAAACTATACCATACAAAGCGCTGTGCTTTTCCGTGATTAGTAGCAAATATTTTGCTACTCACGTGTGCAAAGTGGTTCATTTTGTTTCGAAGTGTGAATATTGTGATATCATTGTAAAGGAAATCTTACGCTCCATCCAGCAAATCCAAATTTAGCTTTCTACGCCTAATTTTAAGTGTGCTGGATATACTTGGGCAATTCAGTTTTTGTGCCATTTGCATCATCACTCACAGGTGCGTCCATCCCAACACAACCAGTTCAGTCGATCGATATTCGCAAACTAACCTGTCTTTGTTCTACGCGTCAGTGAGAATTATCACCACATAGGTGTGATCGGTCCGAAGGTGCACTTTCATTGCACTTGACCTTTGTCCCCTGAACCAACCTCGTCGTTCACAGTCAATCCGAAATGGGTCGTCGAAGTATGTCAACTAGCGCCGCTCCCGGGGTCACAACTGGACCAGGGGTATGCGGTGCATTGAAGTGTGGAAAAGAAATCAAGACCGGCAACTCATGCGCCAACTGTAAGCGATCCTTTCATCCCTCATGTGTTAAGCTATCAGCAAAACGGGTAAAACTATTTCCGGTTCTGTGGGGAATGCTCCAAGCTGCTGATGATCAAATGCATAACGGATATCACACATAGATTTGAGAAACTATTAGCAGCCGTCGAGGACAGGGCAAAGGTACAAATTGCTTCTCTCGGAGAGAAGATCAAGACCCTCAATTCCCAGATCACTCCCGAAAGCCCAAACCCAAGGCCGTCAGAATATCCGAGAAGTGCCTTTAACAAAACAAATTAAGAGGTAGCGCGCATCACTTCCTCTCCAATAGCCACGAAGAAACCGACGGTAGAAATTTCGGTACCTGTGGTCAAAGTACGGCCACCGAAACGTCAGTCGCAAGCTGCTATACCGTCAGAAACGAATAAGAGAGTAGGTGGCAATATTGCACTCACAGTAATTTGTACAATCTCCCGGAACCCGTAAGTCAATCATTGAGAGAGACGAAATAGAACGAGATCAGTCGCTGGACAGAGGTATGTGCCCGAATGGGTTTAGATGCCAACCGACATCATCGCACATTGGAGAACCCTGGTTACATCGTATGACGCTGGTCAGTGAAGAAGACGTTGAAAATGTTCTTCTTACGGGACAGACCGTGAACCGAGTGTGTACACCGACGGAACGATCCTAACAGTACAGACAACTCGCGCGCGATCCTCAAACACAGAGTGCCACAGCTCCCCGAATCCAAAAGTTTCAGTTTTTCAGTTTGAACAACGAATCCGAAAAAAGGATTTGAACGAATGGCGCTTCATTCAAGAATTGTTACACTGCCGAAACGTCTCTACCACGGCCATTAAACGCCTTCCGCATTCTTCCAACAATCGCGGAGATGACCCGCAAATACTGGAAGTAACTCTTGAGACACCAGAAACGGGAAGCGCAGTTCTCCAGTCATGGCATGAACACAGAATCAGAGGGCCCAAAGAACCATACGAAAAACCGATGCTGAATTCAGGACTGAAAAATTGTCCACCTTTCGAAACAGTAAATCACATTGCGCGTGAAACACTACAAACTTCATGTTCCACTCCGACCCCATCAGACCAAATCCAACAAACAAATACGGCAAAAAACGTCTCCAAGCCGACGACGAGGTCGGCCAAATGATACCCCTAAAATCCAAGAAATTTCTGCACCGACGACGACTGAAGTGTTTCTAAACCAACTTTCAGGATTTTCTCAACAAGTTTCCAGAACTAAGCAGTCGGACCGGTCGATGGGATCTCATTGCCGTAACTGAAACCTGGTTGACGTCGGACATTTTAAACTCCGAGCTGTGATTACCAGGAATGCAGCTATTTAGGTGTGATCGTCCAACGCGAGGTGGGGCGTATTGCTCTATTTTCATAGCTTGCAATACGAGCAAATTGAGTGCCCGTTCGCTGCTTCAGATACGTTATGGTGTAAACTAAAGCTAACCCAACATGATATCGGGCTGATCGGTGTAGTTTTTTGCGATAATCGGAATAGTGCGAAATGTAGAAATACGAGAACCCGTACCGTAATGCTCAGAACTGGATTAGTTCCAACCCGAACGGCGGACACCAATGAAATAGACGAGGAATTGATAGTAGCAAATGCTTGTTTGTTGATATAATTATAGCATGTTTTATAGAAGGTATTAGGCCATATGATTAGTTGAAGGACCGTCGTCCAATAAGGTAACCGTTTTCGCCGACGCATCATATGTACTAACTCGGATGTCATGTCATGTTCGCCCGGTGTATCATTGGCCGAGCTTCGTGAACGGTGATTGGATGACATGAAGCTGTACCCGGTCGTGTCTAGATTGCGGTCACGTAAGTCTGGATCACCACATTTATTGCCCTCGTTTGTCAGAAGAATCATCAAATGAGAATGTGTTGCAAACAATGTTTTATTTCTTGTCATTAAATTTCACCCACGTTCTAATTATGGGTGATCTCAAGTGCCCAAAGCTGATCAACATGACGACCTCATGTACGGCGTTTGAACGACAATTCACAAGATGTATCCAGTCACATCCGTTGTACAATCGTGTGAAGAAACCCACCAGGTTGAGAACCAACTAAATTTCGTCAATGTTGGATCTAGTACTGACAAATCAGGAATTGATGGTAGAATCAATTGCAATCGCAACTTCGTTGGGATGCAGAGTGATCACGCTGTATTATTCTTCGAATGCGTTTGCTATGCATCAGTAAAAACAGTTTCGCTTTCGCATCATAACCGACTATACAAGACAAAACACTTTGGCTCATGGAATTTAGTGGATCTCCCCTGATAAAGGATGTAATCCTCTGGAATCATGGAGAAAATTTACTAGCAGTATCACAACATTGGTGGCTGCTGTCACAACGGTCAAGCGTCGATACCAGCCGAATTTTCGAAAATCAGTAATTCGCAGTCGAACGAGGAAATGGATAATGCAAAAAGACTTTTACTGAAGGGAGTGCAAACGTTGTCCATGCTCCAGCACTTGGGAAGCTTACACGCTCCTTCGAACCCATTGTACAAATTTGGTGCGGGCAGACAAGCACACTTATCATGATATGCTGGCAAGGAAATTTATCGCAAACCCTAAGCTATGATATAGGCATGTAAACGCTTCCCAGAAAGTCAAACACGGGGTTCCGATACTAAACTCAGCAGGACGTGTTTCAACAACAACCAAGGAGGCTGCAGAAATGCTTAGGCTACAGTACTGTCAAGTGACCAATGCGCTTGGTAATACTGGGTCAGTACTTCCCCGTTTGCTGAAACATATTCCTTACCCACTACTGACAAACATTATCTTTTCTCCCGAAAAGATAAAGGCTAAGCTGCTGGCTTTAAAAAAAGAACTCATCACCGGGTTTGGATAATATATCCACAAGCCCTTATCACCCTGGCAAGTCACAGCCGATCCTTTGAGTGGACTGTACCGAAAATTGTTTGAAGATACTGTGTTTCCTCAGGTGTGGAAAAGCAGTGCCATTTCACCTATTTACAATTTTGGATGCCGTAGTGACCCAACCAACTACCGACTCGTTACTCTCCTTCCAGTGTTGTCCAAAGTCATGGAATCCATTGTTGAAGATTCTGTAATGGATCATCTGGAGAATAAAGGTTTACTATCCCCCATCCAGCACGGGTTTCGAAAATATAGTTCATGTGCAACTAACTTGATTTTGGCTCGGGACGATTGGACTCATGCTGTAGACCAAGGCAACGGACACGAAACTCTGTCTCATGCTCCATCCGAGAAGGATCTGGAATTAGTCATTCTCACAGACTTGAGTTTCTCCACAAACTGTTTCAGGGCATCATCCAGGTTGAACTGCTTAAACGTGATCGTTTGAGCCGGCGTCGTTTCCATGTCTGTTAGCCACATAGATCCGTCCATACGCCGAGTACTCACTTCAGACTTGGAACCCATGACTGCAGCAAGATCGGAAGGTACTCGAACATCCGCATAGAATGGCTACCAAGATGTTCAAAGGTCTAAATTCCAAGGTCTATGGCGAAAGATTACCGCTATTGGGGATATACTCGTCTCAATATCGTCAAATTAGAGGTGATATGATCTTAGTGTATCAAATTTTCCAACAGTCCAAACATCCATGTAGACATCTATTGGTTCTATCCAACAATGTTCATCTGAGAGGGCATCCACTGAAGCTGGCGCTCCAAAACAGCCGTCTCGACTGCAGACGCCATTCGTTTGCAGTCAGAGTGTGCCGCACATGGAACTCTCTACCACCTCACGTGTTCTGTGCCCCAACATTAGTATTTTTCAAGCGACAGCTTGCTGATGCTCTGGAAAACATCATGTTCCAACACCCAACTACATAATATATATTATCCTGTGCTCGTCGAAAACATTACATTACTATTTTACTTACATGTACTAATTGTGATCTTGTGAATCGTGTTCCGAACCAAAGTGTAAACATCGTATGGGATTTGATAATCGAAGTCTTTGTAAGTTTTCCCATATTGAAAATTTGAATTTGACCGCTTTTACAGAGATGACAGCCAATTTTCAATGACAATAAGAGAGGTCTTCTATTGGACAGTATTGTTATTGTACCCACTGCAGAAGCCACTTTCGGCTATTCAATTGGTAAAATGCACAGTGCATCGCTTTGTACATTTGCGTTTGACATATATCAAGCTATTTGGAGCTACACACTACCGTTATAATAAGGTTGAAACAGATGCTTCCACAGATTCTCACTGGATGTCTGGCACACGTGATATGCGTGACAAGTAGAGTTCTCGTACTTAAAAAGTGTTCCAAACATACAAAAAGAAAAGGAAAAGTTGACGGATCGCCATTACACACGTAGATAAAGCCAATAGCTCTCAAAGATTGTGAAAGGTGAGTGGCACACCTGGTTCCTTGTATGTGCGTATATGAGCGAGGGAAAGTTTGTCTCATAATAGGTTATTAGGTCTGGTGAGGATCCTACAGAACCTGGTGAAAATATGTGAATCAATAAGTCATTCCTTAGATTGTTCGGTAGTAAATGCATTTTTAAAACGAATAGAAAATGGTCAGTTTGAAATAAGTCAAATAAAGAGGTAAAGGGTTAATTAATATGCTTCAAGGTTACACACGCACACGATCCATGGGTAAATTAAACATGATCGAAAAAAACTGTTAACTTACACCAGCAGAGTGCAGAATACATTTTGGTCGACCAGTGGTACCTGAACTGAACATGATGACCAACGGATGAGTGAACGGTAGCTGTGCCATTTCTAATTTCATGCTGGTCGGGCAGTACGTCATGGAAGTATAATTGAGGAATTCTCGAAAAGTGCAGCTGTCAGAAACACGTGGATGGCAAATTAAGATGATATAAAAACGGAAGCTAAACGAACTATAGGTGCAGAATATGAAGATCGTACTTTTAGCTTATGTGTGATGATAAATGTAGAGATACCACTTCATGTTATATCTCGAACTCCCAACCTGTTAGTCCATGTTCCATATATGGGTGTACAAATGCAATAAAATTAATCGGTATGAACCATGCAAATGAAGGTTTTGAAATTCTTCACTGAAATCTCATATTTCCCTCTTTGTTTTGTTTCTCCAAGCTACTGTTTAAACATGATTCGCTGGATATTCAGCCGCGTTTATCAAGCAACCCACCCGTGTCTTGGAACAGAGCTTAACCAAGAGACGGATAGTGTGGTACAGTTGTTTTAGCCTTAATCACTGTCGTATATTGATCAGTAAACTCTGGATTATGTGAGTAGCATGGTACTTTTCGCAGCTCAGTAAGATTTTCAGATAATAACCACACATGGGTACCATGATAAAGTGATTCCTTGCCGAAGCTGTTAAGCACGCTTAAAAACAGTCTGACCACGATTCCAGAGGTGTTTATCCTGAGATATGAATGGTCGTGTTCATTGTTGTCCGATTTGACCCACTGTTTTATTGTTGCAAACAAACAGTCTGCCACTGGACTTATGGACATGGTGTCTTAGTTGTTTCTTATTTCGGGTAAAAGATTTAACGTACGGTTCGATTAAGAATTTTCAAGATAGTTATGAAATGCTGCACTTTCGCATCGAGCACCTATTCGAATTTTGTCATCTGTTTGTCGTTCATGGCCCATGAGAGGAATGTCATGGCATCATCCAAAAACATGGTGTTTCCGTTTCACGTGTGAACACTGAAATACCCATGGCTACTTACGTTTCTACGTTTATGACAGCAAAAACACCAAAATTGCTTCTTTTGGTTGTATGCAGGAGTGGATCGAATATCCATCTAAATAAAATAGGCTTAGTTCCAGGAGTATTTAGCTGATGAGTTTTGAATTTGTGTGCAAAGTATGCATGCTCGTCCATTGGCGTTATGCCCACACGAGAATGGGTTGCAATAAACGTCACGGAAACCCCATCATTGTGCAAACAAATAACCATCACTTAGTTACCAATAAAAGACAGAAATGCCTTTCCCACTGACCATTTTCACTCCATTGTAATGTGCTGGTGGTTTCCTATCACCGCGGGAAGACATTTGAGGAGATACTAAATTACCTGTAGTCGCCCTTCTATTTAAAGGGTTAAAGGCTAAAACCGCATTCGCATTGGCCACCAACACAAATATCAATGGGTGTCGTAAACCGCTGAGAACGCTACTCATCGAGAGTACGTTCACGAAGAGGAAGGGGACAGAGCAATAGTATTATTAATGTGGCGGATTGATACAAAACGGCCCCTTGAAGTGAAATTTCTCTTTATAAAATGATACTACTCATGAGTACCTTGAACATAAATAAATAAACAGGCAGTGTAATAAATCTGTAATATCAAGTTAATATTTAGTACTTACAATAAAAATGATAAAACCAATATTATACATGACGATAATAATAATTAAAATAATAAAATAAATAACAGGTATATCAAAAAGAAGACTACTGAGACCTAAAATTATTAGTAACAGAAACATCAGGAATAAAATTATATTACATTATATATATATATACATATATATATATATATATATATATATATATATATATATATATATATATATATATATATATATATATATATATATATATGGTATATATATATAATGCGATATATTATACAAAGTATATATTTTTATATTATATTATATATTGTGTTGTATTATAATTTACTACATATGTACATATTAGATACATATTATTATTCAGATAATTTCATATCCTGAATAACATCATGTTATATGTGATATATGCATATATAATATGTATTTACATCTACGTATATACATATATTGTATACACATATTATATATGATAAGGTCTACCAATAATTTTATATACTATATATACATGATTATAATTATTATTATTATACTATCCTGGCTATATTCCAAACCTCCGAAGCAAAATTTAACCACTTTGCATTGATTCAAGGCCAGACATTAAAAAAAACCCGTAGAAATTATCTATCCATAAGAATAGCTGATCTGCATATGTAGATAATAAAATGAATAAGAAATAATTAATAAATAATAAAATTTCCCAACCACTTCAAAAAATATAATGCCAGAAAGTTCAGCCTGCTTTGTATCAATCAGACATTATTGGTACCACCTAACTTGCCTGTTTGTTATTTGATTGATGCTGGGTCGAAGTTGACAGTCCGCCTGATCCCGACAGCGTAGATACACCGCGCCGGGTATGATTTTTACCTGTTTTGAATCAACACCATTTTTGTCTGTCGTCCTGGTTGAGATGGCGTCCCCGTTGGAATAGAGATCAGTGCAAAGCATTTGCAGGAAAGGGACAAATACTACTCGCACCGGTTTGGGATTCAGTGCCTGCACCAGGTCGCGCACCTTTTCCAGCTGATCAAATGTTTTGCCACGATAGATTGTTTGTGTAACTGTAAACAGGACGGTGGGTTGAACTAACTCGAACCGTTGAATAATACCCTGGTAGATAGGGAAGTGAGACATCCAAGTGAAAAGTTTACCGATTTATTTCTTCTCCGCTGTCGATTATTATTATTGGGAACTAGATATAGAGCGACATTCTAGATTACTCAACTAAGTCAGTCCCGGGAAGTGCAATTTATTCCGCAGTAAATGTTTTCCCACGAACATCCAGTAAGGGGACTTGCAACAAATGGAAGAACAATCTCATGATTCTAACCGTATTTTATCGCATGCCATTGATCCTGAGAATTTAAAATGGCTGCTCATTTACATGATCGGAATTATAATGTGCGACCGTGCCAGAAGATATCAAAGTCGGTCGACGGTTACAAACACTACTCTATTGCATGCACACACAGATAAATGTAACAGGATCGACAACTTGGGCTATCCGGGGAGGAGTGTCTGAGACATGAGTTCAATATTAACGCTCAGTGAACAGCGCATAGAGTCGTTGATCGCGTGTGTTTGACCACTCCTCGCCAACAGTCACTGTTGTGAGGTACTACTCACATTTGTGGGTAGTATGCAAAATAATGCGATCGGCGGTTTCTTTCAATGACGAAAAATGAACAAGATCATTTGGAGCAAATTACTGTGCAACGGAATGTTTCATTTATTATTCTGTGTGCTGCCGGGAATTGTAATGACATGTTCAAAATGAGATGTCCTGTTATATGTATGCCAAATTATCGACATCCTAAATGTGGTCCGCATTACACAACTATCCTCGACCGGGCACCGCTTTGTGGATTTATAACGATACTAATTTCCCATCCAGCAGTCGTTTATTTTATCATGACTGACTGCACACTCAATCCCTATAAAATAAACGAACACTACTCACAAGTAACTGTGAGTTAAATGCGAAAATCAATCGAGCCTGATAGGTATATGGCAAGCCAGCTCGTAACTTGCATGGAAGTCCTGATTTGGTGGGGGCTTTCGATTGGAGTCAACAGGATGTACCTGTGACTCCATTCGTTGCTGTCGGGCAAATGGACTGACTATCACTGAAGACAACAGCTAAACAAACCTGAATTGTCAATTTGGTTCAGGCATGGCATGAGCGGGTTGGCGCAGTGGCAACGCACACGGCTTCCATGCGATGGGTCCGGAGTTCAAATCCCGGACGGGTCGATGGATATGCACTACTGGTGAGCTCTAATAAAAGCGAAACTCGAGTCTAGTGCTTCCCAGTGTATGGTTGAATCGATGAACTGAGGATTGTGCGTGAAGGTGAAGTTCGAAGGATAGTCAGTCAAATCAATCAAAATAAACGACGATGAAAAGAGAGGAGCTAAAACACAGCACTTAGGATGAGGATAATTATACCGAGATTTTATTTGCACTGACTCTCTTTTAAACTTCTGCTCTACGCATTATCACCAATTTAACCGTAGATTTAGTAGCTCTTAGAATTCACCAGTAGTGCATATAAAACGATCAATCTGGTAGTTGAACTGCAACTCCCGCACGCAGAAAGTGTAGTTGGTATCGCCATACGATTAAAAACTTCACTTTTTCAATTTGGAACCAGCTCGTGTCGGGACCGATTAGAATTCTCAATACCAGTTTTTCCCTACGGCGTATTTAATACTGGTCGGTAAAATCACTGGGTCTGACGGCAACGAACGAAAGGACACATGCAGTTCACTATCTACTAAATCTATTCGGTGTATCACGTAGGTTCACGTTGATTTGTTGCAATGAAACCCACTAGGCTAAAATGAAGTGAGGATGATCAACCACAGAAATATTTATAAGTAACGGTGAATCCACTGTGGATTTGTTAGAAACTGTCCAATTTTCTTGGATGTCCAAACGTACGGAATGGTTGTCAAGGTCCGTTGGCAGATTCATAAAGGCTGATAGATGATCTATCCGAAATATGTTTACACATGCGCAGAATCAAATAAGTTTTATTTATCCAGAACGGACTGTGGTGAGTATCTTCTCCATCTGATCGCTTTTTCATGGATCTTGATTATGTACGACAAACTGGATTGAATCCATGATGAGATTTGCGATGACGTATACCGAACTGCAATGCGCGTGGTCTCGGCTTGTAAAAGCAACTTCATGAGTGTGTGTGTGTGTGTGGAGTCTATTGAGCAGACGAATTAGCCGCGCAAACAACAAGTGACATGTGTGAAACAATTTTTTGAAGATGCATTTATTTTCATAACGATCAAATGTTCCCTGTGACGTCTCGGATTCCAGTCCCCATTGGGTTGATAAATGCTCGATCGGATGGTGAAGTTCGAACACATATGTACGATGACGTGGAGGACAACAAGCAATTAGGGACAGCAGAAATTGGACAATACAGTCAATCTCCTGCTATGTTGCACCCCTGGGAAGTCGCATTTCCTATATCTTCTCGTTTTTGGAAAACGCAAACGAACCGTATACATAATAACGTAGTTTCTGACTATGTAATGTCGCACTTCTTAATATATCGCAGTTTCTGATATCTACTCACTTGATCCTTGACCGATGTTCGAGTCGGCAATTGGCCAGCCAACCTGCAATGTCGCATTCAGCCATCTCAGACATCTCACCTAGTGTTACGCAAACATGACTCTATTTAGTGATTGGATAAAGCTTGCCAGGAGGACACAGCGATGCCAAAAATCGAAGACAGTGTCACTTGACTTCAAAATGTGCCAGCGCCTATCCATCAGAATTCGTTGGAAATGCTGAATCAGACAAGTGCAACTCACAACCCCGTAACCGAGTCACTTAGTATTTCAAGAAAAACACTATTTACAGTATTATTTTCGGTACAGCTTTGTATAACAAGCAGCTGTCTCCGAACTGTTCTTTAATATTACAACCAGTGCATCAAGATGTTATTTGGTCTATCAAACGTTCGTTTCGGAAATATCTACTGGAATATGTTTTGTCTTTTGCTGATGACGAATAACTTAGCATGAAATCCGAAGTGGAAGTTCTCATGGGCATGCATCTAGTCAAGAAAGCTTGGGTATCTGTGCACGCACATGTAGTGATCAACGGTTTTATAAAAGCTGGATTCAAACCAAAATTGAAGAGCCGATGAAATCACCACCAGAGAATAGCTGTGATCTGATTGAAAACTCCACTCACTGTTTCTATTGATAAAAGTCTTTCTGAAGAAGAAATCCCTTGTTTAGAATTTCATGATGAACAATTGGGTTATCTAAACGTTTTGCATCAAGTCTCTTTCAGTCATTAGATGAACTCACATCGAATCCAGTTAAGCGTCGCAAAGAAGAAGAAGATGAATGTGGAGCAGTTAATGCGCCGAAAGTAATCTTAATTGGAGAAACGCTGGATCTATTGAAGCTGTTTGATTTGGTTAATGCTCGGGTTTCGGGTCAATTATCGGACTGTACATTTGATTTAAACAGCGCGTTTGCTGATTTCCACAGGACAGTGAAACTGAGACAAACGACGAATTATAATTACTGGGAATAAATCTTTGTAAGCTTCAAGGGTTTTCATGCAATTCTGTGGGGTTACTCGTATGTGATCATTTTTTCCAGTGGTCACCAAAGCCACGGCCATTCGGTCTATCGATGGGCTCTGTCGCACTAACGTGCAAACGGGTGAAAGACAACCGTGATTGACTGGAAGCTGGTCAGTGGAGAGAGATGTCAGATCCAAACGATCGATAAACGCCGGTCCATGTACATGAATGTATGATGTACGATAATAGCACTTGTCCTTGCTAGAGCAGAGATGAAATGAGGCCGCTCATTGGGCAAAGGTTACCGTAACCCGGATCTGACGCGACCCCGACTGTTTGTGCACTTTTAATTTATGAATCACAGGTTGAACCTAGGTCACCTAGGTTCAGGGACACTGGCCGTAACGAATGTATGACAGGGACACAAAAAGTACGCACTGCTGACGAGTCCCAAACTGGACGAAACAGCTGTCCAGTGCTCTTTGTTGGTTATCACAAACATTTCCATCGCATTTAAATACATACAAATTAACGATCTCCCAAGTGAAACCCACACCGAAGACCACCAAGAGTGCCTGGTGCCTCTGAATGGGCTAATCGAAGCTTGATACTCTAAAATATATGAATCGGTTTGAACATAAACTGGTAACAGCAAAGGCGAACCAATGAATAAATTTCAAAGGTGAATCCGTCGTGTATATAGCAAATGAAGCGTGAACTGAGAAGCTAGGAGGCACTGGATAGGCTAGTGCTGAGATGAGCAGGATCTGTGGCCCGCAATAAGTTTGCAAAGATGGGTTGTGCTA